AAAACCGCCTTTAGGGGTCCCATTGATCTGTATTTGAATGTTAGTTATTTTTGATGATGAAACAGCAAAAGTATACTCATCGTCGGACGAATTAGGAGGGCTTTGTTTTTGGGTTTGTTGTAGTGCAACTCTAACAGACTCTCTCGAATCTTTCTTACTATCTTTCGGGGGATTTTTTCGACTTCGACAAACTCTAGCGAAATGATTGAGCTTTCCACAAGCTCTACAGGTTTTGCCCTTCGCAGGACAGACATCTTTATGTTTTTGTTTAAATTCATTTCCACAATTTCGACATTGATTTTGTTTGTGTGGTTTTGGTACATATTTAGCATGTCTTACCTTGTCTCTAGCTTCGTCATTTCCCTCGTCTTTTACACGATTAACATTGTTCCGAGAGTTATTGTGTCCCGAGATATTCGACGCTTGTTTTTCTGCTAATTCCTTCGCTCGCGCCATGGTGATAAGCTTAGCCAATGTCAGATCTGTCTCGCGTAAAAGCTTCGTACGAAATCCATGAGACGAGCATGTCATAACAAACTGATCGCGTATTTCATTCTCGGCGCTTTCGAATTCACACGTTTCGGCTAGTGTACGTAGACGAGTTATGTAGCTGTCTACCGATTCTCCAGGCGTTGGATGTGTCTGTTTAAACACATAGCGTTCATATATTACGTTCTTTTGTGGCTGAAAATATTCGTCGAGCTTCTCTAGAGCTGTTTTGATATCTGTCCCGGTGTCTTGTAGTGTTTTGAATATTTTATGAACCGACGGGCCAGCTACATACAATAACACTGCGCGTTTTTGTGCATCATCCTTGATGTTGGCAGCTACTGTATACATATTAAAACGTTCTCGCCATTCTTTCCAGCGTTGGGCTAGCGAGGAATTATCACCCTCTGCATCAAACGGAGGTGGTGGTTTTAAATCCAAAGTTGTGGCCATCGAGATTTCTTCTGTGTTCACTTCTTCTTCGTTTGGGTTTAGCATTAAAATAAACTCGTCGCCAAATATAATGTATCTCTTTAGTACAAGTTGTACAGTATAAAAATGTACTTTTATTGCCTTCAATATCAAAACCCTATTTCCTTACACGTGGTCTCTTTCTGATACCTAAATATATATTACATCACGTGACATGACGTGACTACATTACAGTTACTTGCATCTTGCTTAATTTAACTGATTATTCCCCATTTATTGTACCCATAAATTTCTTTCCAATAATCTAGAAAACTTCAAAATCGTTCAACAAATTTAATTAAGAAAATTTGGTGAAGGTAGGTCAATAGATGAAGAAAACATTTCTTCTTGTACATCCATATGGCCCCCCATCTCTGTCAGGTGTAGAAATTTATTGAAGCCTTCAGAAAATAATAATGGCAGCAAGGTTACCAGCCACACTGCGGAATTTGGAAATTTTTGAAAATATTTCAAGGGCCGCACAATGTAAGTAGGGGCGAGGGGACAAAATAATGAAATTTTAAGATTTGGGGAAGTTTTGTACTAAGTGGTGCTAAACCTTTTCCTAAAAAATCTCTAAACCGTCTCTGACCAGCTGCAGTTATCATGGATTTTAAAAATACTCATTAACTCACAAACGTTAAATAAGTTGATTCACACAGTAGAACTCAAGTTGTTAGCAGGTTGCATGTGACATTTTTAGGCAAAAGTTGTGTAGTAGAGGTGTGCATCGGAACAGATTGGACGGTAATAATCCGACAATAATTGCCTAATGTTTAAAATCCGATCCGAACCGAAATTGTCTAATCCGAATCCGATCCGATCCTAGCTTTGATAAAGAATTCCAATCCGATACGATCCTAAGAATTCTTTAATAAAATAAATTTCTCCTTCAAGTTGAAATATTTAACCAAATAAGTATAAAAGCAAGAAATACATGTCAAGAAACTGACAAAATGACGTTCAATTGAAGTATCAAACGAATAATGCAGCGACAACCGCGATAATGCTTTGAGAAATGCATGGATAATTAATTCTTGCGATAATGCTTGGATAATTAATTCATTTTATTAATTCGGATATCGAAGTCCGATCCGATCCGATCCAACTACGAAACAACTTTATCAATCCGATCCGAAATGAATATTTTGGTTCCGAAATCCGAACGAATCCGATCGGATCGGTTTCGGATCGGATTTGCACACCTCTATTGTGTAGTGTAAATCGACCTTAAGTACAAACTTTTTTTATATATTTACTAAATCTGTATCTGTATTTTTTACATTGGGAATCGGTTTCAGTTTTTGTTTCGGTTTTATTAATGTAGTGTTTTCCACACTATTATTTGCCTTCTTTAGCTCATTTGTAGTCAGTTTTCCTGAAATAACAATGTATTGGCAAATCCTGTTGTCTTGGCATAGATTTGTTAGGATCTTGCCAACGTCCCACTGTGGGACTTCTGAGTTATTGTTCCGTTATTTATAGAGTTCACTGGGAAGGGCAGTCATTGAGCTGTTGCCCCAATACGAAAAGGTTTTTCATTATAAATATCAATATCTAGGTCACCTGGCAATATTACTATCGGACAAGTTCGATATGCTGTAGGCACTAAGAAAGTCTCGCAATCAAACGTAGTGATTAATCAATATTTTAAGTAATCAAACTCAAGTTGTATACATTTTTTTTTTGGGGGGGGGGGGTCATGCCCCACCTAAGAATACCAGGAATTTCAAAGAACGAAATCATATATAACGCTAATTAATTGCAGCATACAAAGTGGTAATCTAAGGTTTCATTCAGATTTAATATCAGTTCCAAAGTTGCATTGCCGTGAACCAATGAACTTCAAATATCACTGTATTAGACTACTAATGCCTTCCACTGGAAGAAAAAGTGAAATCCATACTACGAAATTTGCAATTGTACCATAAGATCCATAGTATATCCATCCTATTTCCATACTATATCCATACAATGGAAATATACAATTATTATGGATAACCAAAATCCATTCTATTTCCAATAAAGGTCCATACAATTTCCATTCCACAGTATGACCTTCTATGGATTTTCAAAATTGTTTCCAGTGTTCGGGACGCTTCCACGGTAATATCTTAGTCCCTTTTTTGGTCTGGGAGGGGGGGGGGGCAGAAAAAACGTAGGTGGCGCCATGCCAGGCTTCACTTATTCTTATAGAATGAATTTTCTCACGGGGTTTTCCAAAATTTTACCGGAGAGGGGGCTCAGCCTTCCCCCTGGCTACGCCTTTGGGTCTCTTTCTTGCGTCACTGAAGATCTGATAAAAAAGAACACATTCCAAACATCAAACTCTCAGCAAATTAAACAGTTAAAAAAACTATGCTAGACTAAATACATGCCTGAAGCAACCCCTCGCATATTTCCCATCATTAATTCACCATAATCCATTCTGAGCCGACTCACAGTATATATTAACTTACTATATAATAACGTTAACAATTTAAGCGCTTTGATTAGTCGAGATCCATGATCTATTAGATGACAGACAAGGTTGTCAGTAGCATTCCTTTATTTGTACAGATCATGTACGCGTGATATTTCGAAGAAATATTTTTTAATTTCATTTTTTTGGGGTGGGAGGGGGGGTGGGGTGGGGTGGTGGTAAAGATTTCGATTCCCCGCCTGCTCGTTTAAAATATTGGATAAGGGCCACGCGCTCCCCGCCCCCTACTATGTACGCTCCTGCGGTCAATAACTTGTTTAGCCCAGCCCTCCAACAACTCAAATCAATACTGGTTCTCGGATATGCAATCCACTGGAAAATGTCTAAAATCTAAGGTATTTACAACACAATGCTAAAGCCTTTTTAAAAAGACATGAATTTTATTGAATTTAATTAAAAATAAAAGACAGGAAATAAGATTCACAAAGGTTACTAGAATATCAAATCTCACTTTTAAATTTCATCTTTGCTTATATTTTAGGGAAAAGGGACTTTTTGAGTGGGGAGGGGGCGAGAATTATATGCCCGCTCTCTCGCATGATCGAAAATGAAGAAACCCTTTTAGATATATATACTCAGGTTATTTCACTATTAAACCATACGTCCGCCAGTGTCGTTACCGCTAGTCCGATGTCCGTGTCGCTTTGTATCCGCATCTGCGGAGATTTAATTTATAGCCACGCCCAAAATTATAAAAATAGCAATACTCACCTGTGCAGTTCAATGATTGGCATCTGACTGGCATATATAGTTATACAATTGTTTTGACTTTTTATCCTCGTGGTCTTGCTATTAAAACCGCCGAAGTCCGTGCATAGTATTTATATTGCAAAGAAATATCGTACAAAATATCTATATATTGAAAGCGACCTCCAAAAGAAATGCCCAAAAAGTTCGGTAAGTTACTTTTAATAAAACTGTAGCATTCAGTATAATTTGACAGTATTCTAATTAATTTATTATTAATCCAATTGTTTTATCCTCGTGGCTCACTAAAACATTTCAAAATATCTATAATATATATTGCAAAGAAATATCTCCGTCGACTATCAACCTATTAAAGAACTATATAATGAGAGCGACGTTTAAAAGCAATGCCCCAAAAGTTCGGTATAAAGTTTGTTACTTTTAATAAAATTGTAGCATTAATCAGGCACATAGATTCTAAAATTAATATTTTCAAGTTATATAAATGTCAAATGTCAATAGCGGCCAATTTTTATATCCGAGGTTCTGCAGTACCCATAGCCAGAAGTGAGTGCTTTTTATCTGATTTATTTCAACTCATAAATAATGCATTCAACTCAATAATGCAAAATTCAGCATACAAATTGATATTGAATACAATTAATATTTACACGATATCAATCAATATGACGCTATTATTATTCTAAATTAGTTTTGTTCACTGTCACATGCAGATAGGGATGGAATTGTGCTAATATTAGTCCAATAGTAAGATGCATATAACTGGAAGTCCTGAACATAAAGTGTAACATGCTGCTGAAAAGCATGGCTATGAGCTAGTCCTATGAAGCTTGAAGCAGCTGATATTGCAAATGTCAGTTTGCCCAAAGCTGCTGATAATTCTTTATATATATGCAACAGTGAAGCCTGGTTCACATATGCCTGCGGTATGCCTGCGACTGTATCATTATGCCTCTACTTGCCGCCGAAATACCGGCAAAGTTGATCTCAAGTCAACTTTCCCGGCCTACCGCTGATGTAACTGTGGCACTGGAGGCAATCGGTGAAAAAATATTCACATAATTCATGTTTTAAGCTACCACTGGCATCATCGCCGGTACGTCGCAGGCACGTCGCAGGCATATATGTGAACCAGGCTTGAGTTATACATAAACAGTAAAGGTACATTTTAATTCCCTATGAAAGGGGAACTCCTGTCCCAAAACATTGACTCATTGAGTTGGGTTTAAGTAAATCCTTTTATTGTATGTGGCAATAAAATAATAACACTACTATACAAAGTATTATAGCCCAGTGAAATATCCTGGGATGTTGATTGCTTCAGTCACTAGGGATGTGCCGGATCCATATACCGGTATCCGATATCCGGTATAAATTTGCCGGATATTTACCGGATAGTACTGTAAGATATTTTGTTACAATCATGAAACGGAAAAGTTTACTAAATTGGCGTTTAAAAATTGTGAAACACGAACAATTACTGAGCGTGCGCTAGCTGCATAATTACAACGAAATTACGACATATTTTTTTCGTGATGATGATGTGAACTGCTCGTTCACCAACAGCAGTGAATGTTATATACTAAATGCCAGTAAACAATCTAAGGTGAATCGTAAGATATGGCCTTGGTAAAGACAAATAGGTCAGAGACAAAAAACTCTTGAAGTTATTGTATTAAACACATTGCCACATTGGACTAGTTATAAATTAAGCTATAAAAATGTTGTGTTTCTAATAAATTATTGTATCGGAGTATCTGGTTATTATCCGGTATCCGGTTATAATATCCGGTCATCATTTTCTCCTGACCGGTATCCGGTAGACTACAATCCGGTA